TGGAGGAAAATTCAATATTTGACATGTTTTTGACTAGGGGATTATTACTAATGAAGCCTGAGGAACTACTTTTCCTGAGGAAAACACAGTGTTTTTAAAATAAATTAAGAAAACATAGTGGGGAAATTTAGTGTTGGAACTAGCACAGGCATGCTATGCTGAAAAGTCTCACACAAATAGATTATGGCACGTCTGGAATGTAGGATATCCATACCGATCTTTCACCAGTATATACTCTAAATTTCCAGTTTACACACAGCATTAAACACTTTGTCAGGTGGAGAGGGAGACCACAGGTCTATAGGATTCACAGAAAATGTAGACAGTAGAAGAAACATTGTATCTTAAGGTCTTTTAATTGCAGCAGAAAAAACAATCAAGCACATGGAAGACTTGATGTAAATGCAAAGACAGAGTCATGAATCCTTAGCAGATGCAGTTATTTGAATAAGCAATACAGTTAAATTGAAGTGACAGAAGACATGGAGTATTGAAACCTAAACTAAAGATAGTAATAAAAAAGAGCTGTAGAACCACAAGTAGAAAAAGCAGTTAAGAACAAGCTTTGAATATAAAGCAAGAGCTGAAACACTGGGAAGTATTTCTCATGAATGTGAAACAAATTTTCACTTTCTTGCTGCTGGTAAATACCTTCATGATGCCTGCTCACAGAAAGGAAAAAATAAATTCAGCAAATAGGCTGAAAAAATCTATCAGCAAATAGTCTTAAAACATGTTAAAATAGAGAGATGTGTGTCAGCACACACAGATCCACACACAGTGACAATCATGAAAATCGGACATCTCAACAGTACAAAAATGACAAGAATACAAAAGATCCAGTCGACTGTCACTGAATAACTTTTTTTTTTTTTTCAACTGAATGAGCAAAAAGAAAGAGACAATCCAGGTAATTTACAAGGGGGAGGATACTGCAGAGACCTGTTTTCAGGATATGCTCCCTGGGATGATCACCTCTCTCAGCCCTGCTCCCAGCCTGGTGCAGTGGTGTCTCTGCCTGTGTGGGCTCTTCACACCCAGGAACCTGCCCTCAGCATGGCTTTAGCAGGGAGACAGAAAGACATTTTCATGCAAAGGTAGGTGTGTGGACCTGCCTGGATGTCTGCTCTACCAGTGGATCCCGCTCTCCCTCCTTCTAAGAGGTCCTGCTGGAGTGGAGTTTCTTCCTGAGGTGCAGTTGGCGAAACCAGAGAATTTTCTTTAGGAATGTGATTAAAGGGCACATTCAAGACCAGTCGGAATAATGGCATTTACAGAGAACTGCAAATAATCCTAGCAAGACATAGTCTCAAACCCATCACCAGAAAGTCTGGGCTAATAAGTGGAATGCACTTTTCTAAGAAACCTACTTCTGAGAAAGCTCCTAGCTAACTTCTGCATGTGAGAAAAGTGAAAATCCCTTGGGTAGTGAGCCTGAGGCACACACCACTGCCTGAAGCTCAGAGCAGCAGAACAGGTCAATGCACAGTACATAGCTGCAGGAGGAGTTTGCAGACAGGCAGCCGAGTGAGTGCATGTGAAGAGCAGCCAAAGTCCACCACTTTGGGACCACTGCAGGGCCATCCTGCAAATATCTGATTTGAATGCCTGCTATTACCTCCAAGCAAGCCTTTCCATCTGTTCTGCCTATATTATTTTCAAAATTTACCTATTACCCTTATCATTAGTTCTGTTAATAGAAAATGCTGTGGGGGGAAATCCTATAGAAATTTAATAAAATTTTAAGGAGCCACAATTCAGCCAGCTAGGCAGTTTAAAGCTGAGGAGTGATGCAAACCATTAGAGCCACAAAACCATCTCAGTGCCAGGTTTTGGTTGTTACCTGTATCACTATTGTCACTATTATGCCCAGCTATTGAGAAGCTGTCTTATTCTGTTTCATTTCTTAGCAGTCATGTTATTATGAGCTGTCTCTCCAGAAGTTCCTGGAGGCATTAGAAACAGAAGGCATTGTAGGGACATGTAGGAGGAAGACACAATCTCTTCCCTGAAGAGAATGTTGCAAGAAATATGAAACAAAAGAAGATTTAACAGAGAAGTTCTAAACCTGGATGGTTGTCCCCTTATTGCAGTGAAGATCTGCTCTCCACTGGTAAATGCAGTGCATGTCCATGTCCTTATTCTACCTCTGAAATGAACAGAAGATTACAATCTTATCTGTTGCACAATTTACATATCTTGTAGAGCAGCTTGATCAATGAAAATATGCTGTTTCCCATTACCTCTGATTCCTGGAAAGTAACATGAATATTATCTAAAGAGAAAGAAAAGACCTAAGGTCTTACATAAATTTATCTTTGATTAGTACTGAGATCTCTTGCACTAGTTATTTCTTCATCTTGTGCAAACAGAAGAAACTAAAACACTACTGCAGGTGAACCCTAAGACCCATGTGTTATCAGGTACCCAGCTTTGGCACCATTAGACTGTATTTACAATACATATCTGTAAATACCTTAAATATATTCTGGTTTAAAGACAATATTTTTTTAATAATGCATTTTTAATAGACATTAAAAAACACTTTAAATTCAGAATCTGAATTCAGAATCTGGTATTTGTTAACCAGAGACAATTAAAAGTCTTGACCTCTACCTTTAATGACAGTTATAATTTTTTTTCAGTGTCCTTCTTAAAACATCATGCTTTCCAGATGAAACTGATATTTAAGAAGTACTTTGTTATAAAGTGCTTAGAGCAAATTTCAAGGAAGAAATGACAGAGAACGGTGGAACATAGGAAAAAAAATTCCAATTATGGCTGATGCACCTCCTTGAGACCCCAGGTCACCGTCAGATTTACACACCAGTTCAGCTAAGTGCACACTTGATGGCACACATTGTCCAGCAAGTGCCAAACTGAGTAGTTCAACACTCCACAAAACCTTACAGGAGCACAGAAACGGCCAAAGCCAGCTCGCATGTACACTGCTGAAGTAGACTAAGTTATGCCACAGAGAAATTTGCACCATGTCTACACCTCTTTTTTTCTGTCTGCAAAAATGAGATGTGTAGGTTTGTGTGAAAACTGTGCTACAGGGGGAATCCAGAATCAACATCTATGTAAGTATTTAACTAACCCGGACAGTTTGATCAGGGCAGAGAGCTCATCCGCCCTCCCCTTTGTGGAACTCAGGCTCTGTTTGCACAGCTAATATCTTCCCCAGTAGCCATAAGCCCCATGCTTTGTGTATCAGTAGGCTTTAGGAAATGTTTAATCAGTTTGCAAGAGCACATAGATACAATTCCACAACAACCCTCTATGTGGCATCTAAAAGTGCCACTTAAAGGAAAATATAAGTTGTGCCCCTGAAAAGAAAGGCTATGGAAGTGTTCCTACTTAAATCTACTCTCTTTCTGTATTCATTTTTCACTCTCTAAAAATTTTTAAGCAACAAAATGAAATTTTCTTGCTTTTGTGAAGATGGAAAATCACTGAGGGTTTTACTCTAATTTTTAACTTTATAAAATATATGCTGATTTGAAAATATGATTTCTAAAACTTTAATATTTTTTATCCATTATTGTAAAAACAAAGAATATAAAATTATCTTGAAAAATCAACCAGTGTATTTCTGAGCTAAAATTTTGTTTTAGCTTCAACCAAACACTATTTTTTAAGGACTGAGCAACTGTATGTGCAGTGAGGCAAAGCATTTAGAAAATAAAATCAGAAATTATAAATAATGAATACTTCCGGGGAACTTTTTTAGCAGAGCAGTAAATAACCACAACTTCCATCAAATTTAACATGAGAAGCTTGATTCTGATACTACCATTTTGAAGGTCTCTCACTTTAAAGCAGAAAAACTAGGGATCTTGACATACATATAATAACACAAGTAAATTCTCTATTTCATACAGTGAAAGTAGCTGTCACAAATTTCAAATGTGATTAAAGATCAAGTACCTGAAGGCAGAAATTTGGGCCTTGCAAAGTGTAGAAACATGCAATATTTCAGAGTAATTAAAGGTATTTATCATACAGACATTGATATTACATGTTAAAGTTCTCTGAATTAATTAAAAATTTCAGCCTTACTGAATGCGCTGAAGAAATAAGACTGACAATGGTAACAAAACAGAAGAAGTAGAATTCTACACAATGCATCTGTGGGTTCAAACAAAGATAAAAATGAGGGCCAGAACTATCTCACTGTGCTATCCTCAGCATATTAGAAAAATAAGAATTTGTTGTTTCATTAGGTCTTCAGTATATTGCTTTTGGGGAGAAATGTGAGAATCATCTTTCCCTCAGCACTCAAGCTTTCAATTTAAAATAGAAAGAAAAGTTACAAAACGTGTTATAGGAAAACATGCTTATGCGTATGAGCTTTCAAGTCACCTAGGATCCTGGTGAGCCTTGTGTGAATGTTTATTCACACATTTTCATTATTTTTTAAATAAAAGGCAATGTTTGTCTCTTTTTGAAATAATATTTAGGTTTTAAACTGCTGAAAACACTGGTGTGTGTTCTTATGTGATGTACCCTGGCTCCACACTGGTCATCACAAGAAAGACAACTGGAATCAAATAAGAGCCTGGCCCTTCATTTAAACAAACATCACCATTTAATTATTTTTTAAATTTAAAATTACTATCTGTTAAAAGAAATTCATTAAATTCCTATATAAAAGTAAAAACTTGATGTAACATGCTTTTAGACAATTTTACTTAGTCCTTGTCAGAAATATTTACAGACACAAATAATTTTCAACCTCATTTTCTTATGGGAGAGAAGATGAAGGAGAAAAGAATTGCAAGAAAGAGGCTCTGTCACTGTTCAGGGCAGTTTGAAGGGTGCACCTGAGCCAGTTTTTGGGCTCACATACAAAAACACTTGATCCATATTTGTGGATACAGAAAGAGGTCTTGTTTCCCTCCAGTAAGCAGTGAAAAAAACTTCAAAAGTGCAAGAACTGATTTGAAGTGTAACTATAATCTAAATTCCTCTAAATTTTCTGAGTCTGAATCACTCACCTTTGTCACGTGATGCTTTTCATGTTGTACAGGAATCTTAAACATTTGGCACCAATATGTTGTGTCCTTGTCTGGCACAGGCACCTGTCTTAATAAAAAGGGCACGAACACAGTATTATCATAGAATCACAGAATGGTTTGGGTTGGAAGGGACCTTAGAGGTCCAGATCCAGTTCCAATCCCCTTGCTTTGTGCAGGGACACCTTGCACTAGACCAGGTTGCCCAAAGCCCCATCCCTTGAACACTTCCAGGGATCCACAGCTTCTCTAGGCAAGGTGTTCCAATGCCTCATCAACCTCATAGTGAAGAATTTCTTCCTTATGTTTAATCTACATATAAAAGTCACACTACTCGTTGTGTGAGTCAAGGCTTTGGCTACCACCTTATTCCCATGTGCACAGAAACCTACAGCATGTAGGAGTAACTTACGTCTTTGTTTGTCAAGTCAAAGTATGGCAACGAGGCAGATGAGACTTCCTCTCTCTCAGGGTTCAGCAAGCGCAGACTCTTTGTACCACGATTCGATCCGTGGTAATTTTGCCCTGCTTCTCCCATATCTTTGTGGTGGTAGGCCCATATTACCCGCACTGTGCTCTCCTGAAAAATCAAAGCAGAATGTCCTCAAGGGATAGGAGCAACATCTTCCTTACACAGTTCTTATAATTCCTACAATAGCTGTGACACAGGTGTATTTAAGCAATCACAATGTATTCTAGAGGAGCAGTCATCTACCTACAGAATTTGGGCTTTGAAATAAATAACGTTTTATACTCAGCGGGTTAACTGGAAATACACAGAAATTAAATTGTTCTCTGAAAGACTCCTTCCCTAATGTTGTGAACTGAAATCGTATCTTCAAATGGCAGAAAAGACTCATAAAGAAGTAACCTGCTAAATGCATTACAAACATTTCTCTAGAGATGTTATTTATTTGATCAGCAACCAGAATGTTTCCCCGCCAGACATTTTCCAGGCTCAAGTCTGTGAAGATGTGAATACCTTCAGTGAATTGTTGTCCTTAGATATTATGGATAATTAACATTCAATTACAGAACAGATTTACATCTTAAAAATCAATCTACAGCCACTACACAGATCAGTTCTCTGTAAACCATTCTCAGATTACAAGAATGACCCTTGAGACAAAGTGCTATAATAAATACTGAAGTGTCTCAAAATGCTAAATTATACTGAGAATTTGGAGCAGGTGTGCAAACCAGAGATCCACTGACTGCCTGGGAAACTGGTGGTTTATACAGGTGGCGTTTGCTTCCTGCATTTTCAGCCTCTCATGTTGCTATAATTGCATATATTGTAAAAACACAGATAATTAATATAGTGTTTTACTCCTATAGTAATGCTTCCAAAAGAAGAAGTAAAGAAGCCAAAGCAGAGAAAGCCTTGCAAATCTCTCTAACCTTTCTGTCATTTCCAATACCAAAGTCATCACCTTCATGTAATTTAAGATTATATTTAGGAAATAGCACAGCAATCCCTAGGGCAACAGAAGAATTTACCATGAAAATTATTTTACCATGGAAAGCTTTACCATAATTTTTTTCACTTTTAATTTTGAATAAAGCAAACAGACCCTTTAAATATATATTCTCAATTTTTAAAAAAAAATCTGTTTCTTAGATCAATTAAAAGTTAGTGCAGAATCTTAAAAATATTTCTCAATTTGGCCTCCCTTGAATGGTTGTAACAATGGCATATAGGACTTGATGGCACAGAAGTATCTATTCCAATCTTGTGTCCACTTGTTAGAAATTACAGAACATAATGTATTAAAGTACAAAAACAAAGAAAGCTGAAATTTAAACATAATAGTTTAAAAAAACTAGCACAAGTATTTTACCTGAGCAGATATTTTGGAAAGTAAATTTCTCTAATTCTGTCCTTTTACTAAAAAGATATTTTAATTACCAGCTTAATAAGCACACACACATTTATCCTGTGTTAATTACTTCATCTGTCTACATACAGTCAGAGACTCTTACCGTTATGCTCTTGTCATTTGTGTCACAAGTGTGCAGCTCTCTGCTAAAAGCCAGTATTGTATGTGTACTGTTTTCCATGGCATATTCCAGATGGTAATCCTGTTGGGGGTCCTTTTTTAGTACTCTATTTTCATCTGTAAAATAATCCTGTTATGAAAGAAAGGTGGCCCATTATTAAAATCTAATATTAAACATGAAACTCAATGTCCAGTACTGAAGCCTTTTTCAAAACATGTAAAATTCTGCAGTGTCAGTTTTGAAATAAACAATAAATTCAAGGTGGCACTGAACTATTTTTCATACAAAATGTCCAAGAAAGCAACCCTCCTTGATAAACAGCTTAAAGAATGCTTTAAGTAATTTTAGCAACATGCTGCCTGTATGTAACTGCAGAAATAAAGGTTGGACCCAGCAACCAAGAAGCTTTATTTATCATAACTGGGAGATCATAAACACCAGGAGAAATTACAGAGAGAATGAAATTCACTTAATACTTGCATCAACAATAGTGTCACTCCTTTTTTCCACAACTTTTCCTATGCTTTTTTCTTTCCCACAAAAAACTAACCTCTTGAATGAACATTGACTGGAACCAGAAACCCTACGGCTTAACTAGCACGAAAAGTGCTCATTTCATACAAAAGCTGCTGGGATTAGGTTGAGGTTTTGGAAGAGGCAAGGGAGCTGTTTGTAAGAAAGATGCTTCCCATCCAGGGTTCTGCAGAGGCCCAGCACAAAGGAGTAGCATGGCAGCAATGTCAGGTCATTAACCTCCTCACCCCGGATTCCTGCAGCCCCGCGCAGCTGGGACCCGTCCCTCCCTCTCCTCCCACCCTGGCCACCTAGGAAGGGCTGGCCACTGCCTCAGATGCACCTCCTCTGGTCACCCTCCTTTGAGTTTTAGGCTGTTTCTGCTTGCTTTGGGGTAGGGAAGGGTCTTTGGGGTAGAAAGTAAGCAATGTATTTCTCATGCCAAACAGGCTACTGGCAGACACCATTAATTGTGTGGTGTCCTTGCAAAATAATGCAGCACTGTCTGGTCCCAACAGGCATTTATTTCTGTATCTGCTTGGACCTCTGTTCACTTTTGGACATTTTTAACTTTCCCCTTTCATTACGGTTGAGGTAACCATCTGAAAAACAGTAAAAGATTATGTCCAAGTATTTTGATAGCAGTAAAAAAAATAACTGAAACTTCATTAATTCACTAAAGGGTCATTTAGGAGCTGTAATCTTAAACTTAATTCCACCCTAGAAATCTGTGTGTGGGCAAGACACCAGAGAGTTCTTCTTTTCCTGTCACCACTTCTTACAAATACAAATGATTAAGTACATACATGAGAGAATAGGCAAATGGAAAAATAATCACTAAAAAGAACAAAACACAGGCCTGGGACCTGAAAGAAAGTGAACTGATGAGTTGTATTTGTTTAGAGAAATAACTTGGATTTGCTGTTTTCCAGACAGAAATAATAAGAGTTGTTTTGCGCTGGTTCTTTGAAGATAGATACTTTATGGGATCAAAACCCTCCACTTTTACCATGCATCAGAACTTGGAATGAGGCAGTGTATTGCCTATACAGAATACAATTCCTGCTCTGAAAACACTCTTTTGTGGAATCTCTGTTTCCATCTTTTAGTAAGCGTTTGCCTGGACAAGAATTGTAACCCTGTGAACATCAGTTTTATTGAACTGTGATATCTTTGCTTAAATGTTACCTTAAATTGGAGGAAGACATTCTAAGTGAATGCGCCTACACTTTGAAATATTGAGGAATACAAATTCAAGAGCAGCTTTTTCTCATGTGAACAAAAAGTCTCTGCCTGAAACCAGTGTGAAGGGAAGCTGAGAAATGTGAAGAAAAGATGTGCACACTCAAATGTTTTGTGGTGAGCTTCAAAATTTCATCACAAGTCTAGAGGACACAGCTCTAACCAGAAAAAACCCTCTTGTGATATAGTCCTGATTTCCATGAGCCTGAGGCAAGAATACAACAACGATGCAAAGAAGTTCTGTAATTAAGGTATAAGCTCAGATATGCCTTGATAATGTGCTTGTCAGTGTAATTATCTCACCCAGCTGGATGACAGTCATAGAAAGGTCACAGTTCTGGCTCACCAAGAGGGGCCCATTTTGTGGCTGCTGGTGAATGCTTTGGGGAAGGTGGCCCCAAATTCCAGGTCCCCAGAGAGGACCAGGCTGCTCCCCATGGGATGAGAACTGTACTGAGCACTCACACTGCTGCCTGCTCAGGCACTGGGTGCCCACCCCTGCTGTCAAAAATGAAGAGAACCTTGCTGATTTCAGTGATTTCACTGAAATTATTTGGTGGCTCTATGTAGCTAATGCTATTTTTACTTCCTTTGTTGAAAATTATCCAGATGTTCATCATAAAAATAAAATCAAATTATGTCACACAAAAAAAGCCACCAACAAAATCCCCCAAAACAAAACAAAGAACAACAACATAAAACAGCAAAAACAAAAAGCCTGAACAACTCAAAATTTGATTGCTCAACCTCTCACATGAAAATGGTTTGTGTTCCAGTTTTAAAACAAAATAATGCCACATTGTCCAGGAACCAAATGAATCCCTCTCTGTTCACACAGAAGATTTTAAGTCAAACTATGTAGACTTTGCTCAATTTACTCATCAGAGCTTAAAAGCCTTTAAGATGTGTTTGTGTACAAAACAGAACGAACAAAAGGTTTTCAAAAATGACAACACAGCGACAATCTGTGATGCCACATCTTTTTCAGCCACAATTTGCAAAAATCTGCAATCTGGAAAAGTAAAAACATGTTACATATATCTATCTAGCTATATGTCTGTATCGTTATATATATTCTATGGTTCATTTCAGAGTAGAAAAATAAAAATAAAGTCCTGCTGCCTAAAGTCCTGGTGCAAATGCAATCAAAACCATCACATTTGGACTGCCTACACTCCACTCTTTTGTCTAGTCAAGGGAAAAAGCTATATAGCTCTGAAGGCCCTTGAAATGTGGCAGTACAGAGGATGGATCTACCAGAGCCCAGAGAGGGTAAACTGGGCATCTGGGTTTCAGTTAAACTAAGGGAATATAAATTTAATTTGAAACTCTCTCAGGCCCAGACTACTATAACACAGAGCTCATCCAAATTCACAAGTTTCACTTATTTAATTCTGTAAAGAAAGGAGTGGGATGTTTTAATCCACAGCATTACAGTGCTTTGATATCTATCACAGATAGTTCTAAAATGGGCTTTGTACTGGAACAGTTTATCCTTCCCAACAAGCAGAAAAAGGCTCTAACATGGTACAATCTTTTCCTACACAGATCTGGTTTTGCTACCCCAGACAGCCAGAAAACCTGTGTCTTTTGTAGGGTAGATTATACTGATACAAGTCCCCTGAATTTCATGAAGTTCCAACAGATCTACAATAATTGTGAAGTCCTGGAAACTGGATTTCTAAAACACTCACATGTATGTGGAAAAACCCACAATATGGTTTTATATACTGATTCTGTACTTGCATCCAGGTTCTCCAGTTTCTTATACACACAAAAAATATGTTTAATAAAGTTTTCAAACTACTCATCAGCTTTACAGAAGTATAAGAATTAGTTGAAGAGAAGAATGAATTCCCTATATTTTTCTTTTGGTCCTTTAAAAACTAAGTGTTTAAAAAAGCTTCAGAAGTGTTATTGGTCATCCTACATGATTACAAAGATGTTTGTTTCAGGATTTAGGTATGTAAATTGTTTACATGCGAAACATTTAAATTTATTGTACTTCCTTTGATAATATTGCAAAAAATGGCATATTGAACTCTGGACTAAGTTATGCAATCCATCAAATAATTAAGTATCTCCTTCCTCATATTACCTAAAAGTTGAAACAACATATGGAAAATGAAAAATCTTTCTGACATTACAAGATATTGTATGCTCTTTTCCAGATGTGAGGCAGATCATGTTATACAGTTTTTCAGATACCATTAGCCACTCTCCTTCTTAAAAAAAATACTTTGTGGTATATATGGTTTCTGATTTCTGTTCCACAAACAGTCAGGGAGAGTAATTTCTTAAGGATGTGAAAAGACGCTGGTTTCTCCTTCGAGAATGCAAGCACAGCTGCAGAGGGAAGCCCGACCCCAAAAGCCCCACCAGCTGTCATCACACACTGAAACAGGTGCTTATGGGACTCTCCCCCCAGATCTTTACAATGTACAAGATTGTTTTGTTTATGATATCAATTTCCCGTCCTAAATTATATATATCACCTTTCAACCTCAAGGAGCATAAAATAATTCTCAGATTGTGGCCCCATCCAGTAATCACCTCGTGAGCTCAGCTTATGAGAAACTCAGCCACCCCATTTATGTGCACTGCCTTTCTCTAACTGGGCCATCACTGCTGTTCCAGCACCAGTCTAACACTCAAAAGTGGAAAAAGGGACAAGTCAGGAATGGGCAATGACAGGAAAATAAGCTATGTTTCCACTTGTCCTCACTGATGTTCTGTAGCAAATCCATGGAATTTGAAACATCCCTGTCCTGGTTTAGGGCAAATTTGGGAGGAAACTTCCAAAGGGGCTCCTCTAGAAAGCAGATTCAAGTGGCCTCTCCCCCAACTGGTTCAGAAAAAGATTTCCTGGGAGAAAAGTGGAAAAAACCTGTTTATTTAGCAGAGTATTCACAAGCATAAAAAATGAATAATATCAAACAATAAAACCTCTTGCTGTTCTGAAGAGATGGCAAATTCAGGAAGTCCTTTTTGTGGGGTTTAGCTCAGCTTACTCAGTCTCTTATCCATCCCTCCTGTGCTGGAAAATGTCATGTCCTGGGCTACAGTGGGCCACAGGTGTGAGCTCCCGGTGTTTTTCTGAATTTTTTGGTCCAAAGCAGGCTGATCAGTTCCATGAAAACAGTCCTGGGAACTTCTCTGCCTCAGCTAGCTAAAAACTAACCAAAAGCAAAGGAGAGGTCTCTCCTGCTCTCTCCATGCTGCAGACACCACAGTGAGCAGGAATGCTGAAGCTCTTATCTCTGCTTTTGAATACAGTCACCCCAGACATTCCACCCTTCTCCCCACTTCAATCTACTTTTAAAGGTGCAGAACTTAATATCCAGCATGAACAGAACAGACAATTTCAGATACAA